TTGTTTTTTATTTGCGTGAAATTTCACCCTTCGCTTCTCATTCTCTTAAATTTTTTATATTTCAAATTTCACGCTACTTCTCATTCCCTTGAATTTCTCAAATTCATTAAGTTTGTGCGTTAGGATAAGAGAGTGAGTAAAAAGGAAAAGAAATTAAGAATAAAAGCTCCGTTAATATCTGAAATTTTCAATGCTGACGCTAATTGATCCATTCAATTCCTTTTCAATGCAATATGAACAGATAGAGGTAAATTGAGCATCGATACCTAGCACGTTTCTCGCTCTCGTTCCAGGTCCCGACATACCAGGCTTCCTTCTGCAGCCGTTCAGGAAGCCAAAGAGAATAAGGACAGCGTTCAGCCCGAGTCAGTTGCTGAAGCTGGAGCACGCGTTCGAGAAAAATCACTACGTGGTCGGGGCGGAGAGGAAGCAGCTAGCGCAGGCGCTCTCGTTGACGGAAACACAGGTAAGATTCTTCAGATTATCATCGTTCAACTCCCCCAGAAAGAGGAAAACGGAATAAAGGAAACGTGAAATCTGATAAATTGCAACGCGATTTCACGGCGAGTAAGCTCGATCTGATCGAATGTCACTCAAATAAATTTATATATCGGCAATTCCCTCCGAAGGAAGGATTCTCCCGCAATTCCTTGTGTAAACGGGGAAACACAGAATCTAAGGAACTGCGCCGCGATTCTATCGCGTGCAAGTTCAATTTGATCGAATGACGCTCGATTAAAATTTGACGTCGACATTCTCCCGCAATTCCTCGACAATTCCATCGAGAAAAAATGAAACTTCATATGTGATTCGTTGCACCGCAATTTCACAATAAGTAAGCTTGATATAATCGAGTGTGATTCGATTAAAATTTGACATCAGCAATTCCTCTCGAAAGAAGAAATCTCCCGCAATTCCCCAGAAAAAAGGAAACGTAAAATCTGTCGAATTTCTCCGCAATTTCATGGCGAATAAGCTTACCACAACCGAACACCATTCGATTAAAATCTAATACTGTCAATTCCCCTCTGAAGAAAAATTCCCCCGCAATTCCGTAAGTAGAAAGAAGACACGAGATCTTACAAATTTTCTCACGATTTCACGGTGCGCAAGCTCGAATCTGATCGGACGTCAGTCAATGCAAATTACATATCGACAATTCTCCACGATTCTCTCCGAAAAAAGGAAACAAAAAACCCGAATGAAATTCCACGTCGATTTCACGGCGTGTAAGTCTTCAATCTGATCGGATGTCACTCAATTAAAATTTGATATCGGCAATTAGCAAGTTAACGGCGTAGAAATAGAACACGCGGATCGTCTGATGAGCATCTTGGCGGACAAAGTGGAGAGAACAATTATTTCCGTCGAAAGGATTTTGAAAGAAATTCCGTGGATAGGCCGCGAGTGGTAGCGTAGAAACATCCGTTCGGGCACGGTCGAATCGCGTCGCGGCTAATTACCCGACAATTAGAACGGTAATTACAACGCGGTCGGGTGCAAGGGTGCGAAGCTGTTCAGCTGCCATCAAATTACCGCGTTTAACGAGAACTGTTATTCAATTATCGGGAACGTAGACAAAATTCCGCGGTTATCTCACGCACCTCATCTAATGGCCGCGTTTTGCAACACAGGTTGACTCTGATTAACATCGCAGTTTCGGTTGCAAGTCACTTTTTTTTTTTTCTCCCCGGGGAAAATTGATACTCTCTCCTCGTCCATAACTGTGTGTTTATGCTCCGCTACGATTATGCCTTAATTCAGTTTTTTTTTTTTCTTCCTTCGTGGATATTCGATATTTTCGTCGTATGTACATCTTACAGCGTGTTTATGCTCCGTTACGATTATGCCTTAATTAATTTTTTTCTTCATGGAAATTGAATAGTTTTTTGGTCCATATTCGAGGGTATTTAAGATTCCGTATGATTATGACTAATTAATTTTTTTTCGGAGAAATTCGATACTTCCGTGGTCCATCTTTCGGTGCGTTCATGTTCTGCTACAATTATGCCTTAATTAATGTTTTCTCTTCGTCCAAATTTCGTACTTGCTTGGTCCATAGTCGAGTGAACTTAAATTGTCGAAAGATTGTGCTTCATAAATTACTTTTCTTGAAAATTCCATACTTTCTCGGTCCATCTTTGAGTGAACTTAAATTTTCGAATGATTATGCCTAAGTAATTTTTCTTCTTCGTGAAAATCCCATACTTCCTTGGTCCATCTTCGACCGAACTTAAATTTCCTAATAATCGCGTCTAATTAATTTTCTTCCCGTGGAAATTAACACTTCCCTAATCCCTCTGTCACCGTGTTCATTTCTCCCAAAGAACTCCTTTCGGAAATCATAAAAAAATTTGGAAAAATCATAAGAATTCCTAACTATTCCCAAATTTTCCCGACAATCACTGTCAAACTAAAATTACACCACTGTACCACTATGTATCAACAATCTCGCGAATCTAGTCAACGGGAATTTTTTCCACACGACGTCGCGATGGTCGAAGATAGAACACCGATCCTTTGGATTTTCTCATCCAGTGGTAGCATACTCGGAGGGTTAAATGGCGCGTTCGCGGAGTAGGGGCAAAAGGGGTCGTGTAACGAGGGGTTTGATATGCTAATAGTGGATACGCCGAGGGGTGGCGACTTTCGGTGGTGAACGCACAGCTGGTGTATGTATGCGTGTATGTATAGTACTTGGACGCTCCAGATGCATTACGTGCGTTTATTTCACAGGCGTCCCGTATTAAGTATTCCATGGGCGTAACGCGGTCCAAAAAAAGGACGGACGGAAAGGGGGAGAGAGGGGCAGATACAAGCGGGGTGGTATTGTGAATTAAGTCGGGAGAATGGAGGCCGGCGACGCCATCTTGGTGTCGCGATGGAACTCGTTCTTCCGTCCACTCCTCGCTGTCATTCGTTTCCTCTTTCGTCTTTAGAAGCGTTCTAAGAGGGTAAAGTCGAAAATTTCCTTGATTGGTGTATACTTTCTCGGTCGACGAGCTATTATTACGCTCTTGGATAATTTACGCTTCGTTGTGAAACGGTGTTAGGTCTTTTTTAACGTGCCAGATGACGAAGCTTGTTTGGTGTCTTTATGATACTTGGAATTGCTTAATGATATGCTGGCTTTTTCAATTACTCGAAGTGAACGGGTGTGTGTTAGTTGATGTCGGGGGAAATTTTATGGAGATGTGTTGGCGAAATTTTGGAAGTTTCTGGTATTACGAGGTTTTTTGTTGTTCAGTGGCTGAGGAGATGCTGTATTTTTAGGTTATGTTGAAATAAAAATATCGTAGGATCGTATAGCTAAACTGAGAAATAAGTTTTCACACATTTTCTTAATAGTTAATATTTTGGTAACTAAAAATCTTTTCTTAACAGTTTCTAGGTCCAGTTTTTAAGTATCGAATTTTACATAGAACTATTCTTTAATTTTTTAAGTTTCTCATGTTTCTCACTTTTATTTTATGTGCTTTTCGATGTAATAGATTCCGAATTGAGGTTAGGTTAGATTTTTTTTATATCCAGTCTTCAAGCATCGCGTTTTACGTCAATTTTTGAAGTTTTTCATATTTCTAAACTTTACTTATACACTTTTCAATCTAAGTAGTAGATGTTCAATTGAGGTTAGGTTAGAAATTTTGTATGTCCAGTCTTCAAGCATTGAAGTTTTTAAGTTTCTCATATTTCTCACTTTTATTTTATATACTTTTCGATGTAGTAGATTCCGAATTGAGGTTAGGTTAGCAATTTTTATGTCCAATCTTCAAGCATTGAATTTTACTTGAATTTTCTGACTTTTACTTACATGCATACTTTCCAATATGGTGGATTTCGAATTGAGGTTAGGTTAAATTCGAAGTGTAATAATTTACTAAATACCTCGCAGTTTAAGATTGTGCATAAATTAAGAGTTACGAAGGTATGGTTGTACAGGAACAGGGAAGGATGATCACGTCGTTAAGGTTATGTTTGGAATGCAATTAACGTGGAGCGGTACAAGTTCAAGCAGTACATAGTGACCCTCTAAACACGATATAGGTGGTTGCGTGTTGCGCGTTTTACGAGCCAGCTCTTAACTCGAGCTCGTTAATTAAACTTATTATGCATTCGCTATTTATGCGAGATAAGTGAACTAAGGTAAACATTTAAATCAGTTTATTCGACGGCTAATTTAGCCAGTGAACCAACGAACTCTCGTGACGACAATAGCTTCTGATAATTCTTTTGCCAATTTATCGGTTTCTTGTTCAGTGGTACATTTTTTTTCTTTTGTTCTTCTATACTTTTCTTAGCGTATTTTTTTTTTTCTATTGTTACTCTTTGGTAATAAGTTTATAGTTGTAAATAAATAATTCAATAATTCCATTTGGGTTTGAAGATTTGAAAATTTGGAGATTTGAAAGTTTGAGAATTTGAAAGTTTGAGAGTTTGAGAATTTGAAAATTTGAGAGTTGGAGAGTTTGAGAATTTGAAAGTTTGAGAGTTTTAAAGTTTGAGAGTTTGAGAATTTGAGAGTTTGAGAATTTGAAAGTTTGAGAGTTTGAGAATTTGAAAGTTTGAGAATTTGAAAATTTGTAAGTTTGAGAGTTTGAGAATTTGAGAGTTTGAGAATTTGACACTTTGAAGATTTGATAAATTGGAGATTCCAAGGTTTGAAGACTTGAAAATTTTCAAGTTCCCAAATTTCAATATTCGATAATCTGACGCTATCATAAATCTTCTTTGATTCTTCATCTCACGCTACTTATTTTACATGACACGTGTACATAGCACGTACATACTCGTTCATTGCCAATAAATAATAGCAATAATAAAAAATCAATTCGAATGAAACGTAAAACTACAAGGGGTTAACTAGCGCTAACTGATCGAACCGTTTCGAAGACACGTTAAGTATCAATTCATTAGCGACGAAAGCCTCGAAGGATCGGCCATGAAACGGCTAACGATCCTACTTGCTTCTGCGTGATCCTTGTAACGTGGACGAATTAATCAGGAATTAGCGTGAAGGCGAGACCACAAGCGTGACTATTAGAGCGAGCGGCTCAGGTTTCGCGAATCGTGACTCTGTTCGTGGATTAACCGTGGAGTAACGTTCGAGGACGCCTCAAGCATGATTTTCCTTTCGTGCATTCGCGATTCGCCGGGGCCGATCCATCCGCGACGCGTAATACATTCGCCGGCTAATTGCCGGGCTAATCGCGCGTAATTAGGCCTCTAATGAGGGCCACCGGGTCGCGTGTAACGCACGCTCCGCTTTATGAATCTTAACAAGCGCGAGAACATGCCGCTTGCCGCCCTTACGTGCGCGCGTGCACACGCGATTCCTTTTGGCGAGAGAGTTGATGGGACGTGCTTGCTTTGATTTTCTGTCTTTTTTCTTTTTTGGTAATTTGGAGCGGGTTTGCGGAGGAATTTTGCTCGGGACGAAAGTGATTTTACCTAAGTAGAGTACGGAGT